CATCACGTCCTCAACCAGAGTCTATTTTACGATTCACGGAACTGCGCTAATACCAACCAATTGGGTTTCACGATGTGGTCAGACGCAACTGCCGACGATATCCCGTGTTTGTGGCGTAGAATGTTCAACTCTCCAAGAGAGATTCGACCGCGACACAATAGGGCTGCATAAGAACTCGTTAGAACGTATCGGGCGATACTCCGTCGGACATTCTCGTCCAGAAGACCCTCGAGTTGCATGACAATGGAGGGACGCGTTCGAAAGGCGAGCATCCGTTCGACGAGTTTCGGGCAGAAAACTGTAAGGACGTTTCGACGGATACTTTCGCCATCCACGGAGAGAAATTGGCTGGCTTGGCCGTTGTCACGCAGACGTCGATCGTTTCTGGCCATTAAACCGACGTTCCGTGAATCGGTGTCAGAAGCATCCGATACTCGTTTCAATGGTTTATTTAACGCCGAACCAGAAAATCCGAAGGCAAGATACATAGATATTCTTTATATACTTTTTTTTTAAAAAAGTATTGTTGGATTTGTATTCTTCAAATATTACTTTTGCGATCATAGAACGATGTATCCAACATTATTGTTTACATTAGGAATGTACACGTTAAAATGTACATACTTTATGCGCTCAAGCGAAGCTATCGTTTCATTTCACATTAAAGTGTCGCATCCTCGAACAGAGTCTATTTTGCTATCTGCGGAACATCCAGCTTCGGAAGAATCGTTTTCCCCCATTGAATGAAGAGATATACCAGTCGCCCTTTTGTCGAGCACAATGTCGGGCCTTACGATCGTCCAATATTTTCCGTCAACAAACTGCACGCGTTCATCTCGTTATAAAGTCTGTTTGATCGGCAAACATTGCAGCGCCGATGCATGCGGCCTGCATCGCGTGGCCGGTGCATGTCGGGCGGGAAATACTCGGAGGGAACCATTTTAACCCTCTGTAACACTTGATTGCGGAATCCGTTCTGCTGAAACGAATAATCTTACGAATTCACGCCGTCAAATATTAACTTTACAATTTACGCGGGAGCTTGGATTACCGACTGGCCTCGGCTCGGGGGGAAAAAAAAGGACGAGGATCCTTTTTAGTTTCAGAGACTTAGTTTTGCTTCGATTGTCCTCTGCTGGAACGTATTCTGCGACTGTCGAAATAGGATTCTTGGAGAGTCAAAAATTGAATGGTGAAACTTCGAGGAAATTTGTACTTGAAAAGACTTAATAAGTGTTCATGGAAGACTTGGTATGCTTAGGCAGGGGATGTCGGAATATGGTGCTTAATTTTTAGAAGTTTTAGTTATATTTAAGAAATATTCTTAAGGGCACTGAATTTATGCACTCATGCATTCTCCAACATTTCCACTTGCCACAAATGCATCTGCAATCTATTAACGACGCTTATCTGAATCCTGCCTTCGTCGTGGCACTATTAATAGTTTGAGCAGTCTCCAATTACTCGATAGTTCATTACACATATTGTAATTGGTTTGAACAGATTATTCAAATGATTAATAGCCTTGCGTCTAAGGCGTTAAACAAACATAATTGATGAATCCATCTAGCAGATCTATAATGAAACACGGCAATATCGCTGATTGCATAGAAACTATTAGCATTATTAAATCATGAGACATCAAGAGTAAAGACATTTTTTAATTATCTTCCAAGTGCTACCATACACTATGATAAATGCCTGTATGGTTTCAGGCACTAAAATCAGATAAAGCCTACCACAAGTACTTCAGGGAATAAATCCTTGAAATTATCGTTCAACATTAAGGTACTCCCCGACTAAAAGTTGCCTAAGCGACGCAGTGCTCGCCTAAAAAGATAATTGGGCCCCCGCACAGAAGGATATATCGTCTCGAGTATTATCAAAGCCGTCAGCAATCTCGACACTTTGCATCTGTGCCCAATATTCCAAGCTTCGGAGTTAGGCTACCCTCGGTAGTCTTATGTCTGCGCCCGCGACGACAGCTCGCCTACGCGAGGCAAGATGACAAACGCTGCCATCCAAACAAAGGGTCTCGGGCCATTCGCCGCGGCAGACACGCAATTTCCGTGGCATGGAAATCGCGCGAAATGAATTTCTGCCAATCACGCACGTGCGTCACCGCCCGCGATCATCGGGTGACCTGGCTGTTGCCAGGGTATTGCCGAAAAAAATGCAAACTCCTCGAGGCGAAGTTCGATAGCGTGACAACGTAAATAATCGTCGAGAATGTTTCTGTTGAGATTAATTTTGCCGTGACGTATAGCGGTCTGTGGAAATCGCGATGAAATTGGCGAAAAGTGTGAATTTCGAATCAACAGACGTATTATTGCTCCTATGGCTGTGGCTGAATACAACAGAAGGAGAGGGACGTCGATTCAAATTTTAGAGCTATACCGAAACTCCGAGCTCCAGCCAATTTAGTCGTCGAAATTCGCGCCAAGCAAGACGTCTCGGTTCCACGTGTTACCTTTAAAAATTACATCTCTGGCGATGAATCTGTCAGAAGCACCCCTGCTCGCAACCCTACACGGCCAAATAATATGTACAGAACAAGCGCCATGGGACACATAATCAGGGAGCTGAGGGGAGAAGGGCCTGCAAGAGGGAGAAAGAGAGCGAGACGTGTCTCAATCGTTGGCCCCAGGGATGACGCACGTGTTCGTTTACTTCGCACCCTTTTCATCTCGCCATCTCGCTCCCGCGACAATCGATGCACGTCCTTTTCAGTATTTAATACGTTCTCGTCTGTCATCGATGGATTTGATAACGCATCGCGGCGCCTTGGAGAGCGAACACAGCGAGAAAAAAAGGAGGATAGGAGGGCGAAGAGCGACAAGAAAAGGGTTCGCGCCCGTATAAGGGCGCCTTTTGATTTATGTAGTCGCGTCTGTGAAACGACGGCGAACATCAATCACGGGTATGGAAGCGTCGACGGGGCTGGGCCATCGAGCAGGCATATGCGAATCACGGGACTCGAATCGACAGGACGGATGAATGCGCGAAGAAACAGTGCCTCCGTATCTCGATGTTAGCGCCCCTTCTCTGTTTCTGCATGAATCACGCGAGACGTAAGACGTTACGCTTCAGAGACATGCTGGACCGAGCGTGGACATGCAGAAGGGCGAATGAATGCTTTCTAGGCACACTATATATTCAGAACTGGGAGTTTCCAAACCAACATTTCAGATATAAAATGATGAGTGCTTATTCCTTGGCAAGTGAAATTTGACGTATGTGTCTCACTATGAAATCGATGTTCCTCGTGCTTGTGATCATTAAGACGGCGCAAGCACGAGCAAACACGTCGTATCAAGGGATTAGTATGGCGTGGTTTGAAATCTCACATGTATTATCAATCAGTGTAAATATATACATGGATAAACTTTAAACTTGTACCTCAAATCGTCAGCGTTTAACTTTAGGTATTTTCTTCTGAATGAAACCATCAGCCAAAGAATCTGGTACCCTTACCATAATCAGAACAAGAGCTACCCTTCGACGATCCGGTTAGTGAAGATTGAGCATCGTCGAGGTATCAGATAATGTGTCTTCAGATCGTCGATCCCTGGGATACCGGTACGGTCCTGTTTCACGACGAACGCTCGGATAAAATAGTTCGCTCGCGGGAAAGCAGAGGAGCTCTTACACGAATTGGCTGAATTCCAACGACCAAGTCGGTAGAAGGAGGCCCTTCTTTCTTTGTCCTTGCGTCGTTCCTTTCATCTCTTAGGCGGGCTCTCTTTTAGCGGGCCGAAGATCTGAGGAATAGTTGAGAGTTTGGCCGATAGTTGGGCGGTAGCATTTCATTCCGCTCGAAATTCCGCGAAACATGTGGAAGACCGCAATGAGTGAAGAATCAAACGCAGAGAACATTCGCGGGATTCTTCTTCGGGCGACACGCAGCCAGCCGGGCTGGCCAACTTTGTTTAGATCGTATACCGAACGTTGTGTGTGACCTGTAAAATATCGTCCTCGTTTACGAATCGGTAGGTCTCCAGAAGGAAAACTTTTCGATGCGGGGATGCCACGTGTTCATTTCCTCGCGAAAATTCCGCTGGTTTCGTTGGGGATTGCGCTGGCTGTGTAGATCACGACGGTCCGAAAATTCCTGGCCAACTTTTGGAAGAATTTCAATTGTGAATCATACCGTGCTCGTGACGCTCGACGGATCTTGTTCGAGATCGAGTGATCGGGACATGTTATTCGTATTAACTGTTTCTTTTTTTTTTTTGAGGACAAGTAAGCATCAAGTTACAGGATCAACTCATTCAACTGAGAGAGTTAGAAAGGATGAATGAAAGATTTGTATAATCATTTTTTTTCTTAGACATATCAATTTTAATACCACTTTTTATCATCAAAATAATAGTTTAGATTACGTATATACAGTAAATCTTAGCGCCGGAGGCAAAGCACTTTAAATTTGCACGTCAGTAAATGGATTAATTAGTTCCCTGTAAGTCGAAACTTGGAATCGGTGAAAATTTTGTTTTTAAATTATGAAAAATTGTTTGCTAAAGACCTTTTGAATGTTAAAGACTTGAGAAAAATGTTGATAACCTGGCACCTATTATTTTAAAGACCGGGAGAGTTATACATAAGCGTTTGTTAATTAACGGGCTGAACTACTCATTTAGAATAAGGAATATTTGTTGTAAATATTTCCAGCGCGTGCACGAGTTTTTAAAATTTTCGAAGAATCGATTCGTGAGTAAATATTATTTATGACTGAAGGAAATATTATATTTGTTCGCCTTATCATGGCGAAAAACCATAATTATTCATAGAGTTCGCGCGGCTGTTCGTACGCGTATTACGTATCTCGAGGAAGACATAATAGTTTCTGCAAAATGCGTGACTGTTTACATATGCACCGATAGATGGGCATTGTTAACCTAACAATAGATTACGGAAGTGAAAAACGACATTTGTTACAAATTGTCATTCAATGACGCAACTGGGAACGCAGGTGTCTTCATTATTTTTGTTATCATTTGTTAACGAGTGGACCGCTGTTCATCGGCTTGGTATAAATATCCGGCGATTCGTTGATGGAAGGTGTAGTACCTGAGCGATCATGCAGACTTCAGTGTTGTGCCTTCTCTTCGCTCTTGTGGCTAGCGCCTCGTGCGCTAGTCTGTTCCCTGGTATTGATACGGTAAGTTCCTTATCAACAATAGAAACTATTCAATAATTTCAATATTACAAGAATTCATTCTTTTCCTTTTAACATATTTGGAAATGCACATTCATTAATCCTGAGTTACTTTTACAAACTATACATTTACCTTGAAGTTTCGCTGAAGAGTACCTAATTTGTATTAAATGTCTAAAACAGATTCACTCATTTATTCATTTATTTATCTAGTATACTGGCAGTTATTTTCTTCATGATATTACAAATATTATAAAATTATGTATCGTCGTGTAATTCAAGATTGATCGTAAACCTATAAGGGGATATCTCCTGGTGAATAAATTTAGTAATATCAATAAGTATAGTATAACTATACGCCCCAAATTTCACGTATCGATCTGTACAATTCATATTATTCTCTCCCACGGTAATACGTAAATGCGATATTGAAATGTTATTTTCTTTTCAAACAGGCAATAAATGCCGGTAAATCGATCATCAACAATATACCGACAATTATTCCATTACCATTTAACAAAGACGATTCCTCGTCTTCTGAAGAAAACTCCCAGGGACTGATAAACACTGTAGAGGAGCGCTCTAAGAAGGTAAACCAATACGTCAAGAATATCCAGCAATGGCTCCACAACTTGGAACCCAAAAAGTGTGGGGATAAAAAACACCCCAAACCTGTTCCACAGTTCCCTCAGCTGCCCAATCTCCCAAGCCTCCGTGACATTCAAGACAAAACCGTTCTACCAGACATCGCGAACCTTGGAAACATAATCCCGAACATTTTGAACCCAACTCGTCTTCTACCAAACAAACCTAGGCTTCCAGCCCTTCCAACTCTTCCAACTCTTCCAACTCTTCCAACTCTTCTGCCTACACGTCCCCCACACACCCACCCAACACGTCCCCCACACACCCACCC